AGCAAAGCTATCCCTAGCTGTGTTCCTGGGCTCTCTGTCCTGGGAGCTAACTGGTGAGTTGGAGTGGCAGGAATTGTCTGCCTGGGGCATGCGGGCACCCCTAAGGCTGTGGAGAGATGCTGTATGGGGATGTGATGTTTCTCTGGGTACAGAAACCACAGCTGCTCAGCTGTGTGTTTTAGAACAGGGCTGGGCTGTCCATGAGCAATGTAGCAGACATGACCTTCCGTGAACTTCGTTTACTTGCCGGTCATTAGCGGGTCCTGATAGATTGGGAAACACTGGACCTCAGCTTCTACCCTCTTCTCCAGGCCTAAGCCTGGATTCCCTTGATGTCCCTAATGTCCTCTGCTGGGCAGCTTGTCCTCACTACCAGAGCCAGCTGTCTCAGTCCAAAGACAACCTCCAGACTCTTGTTCTCTGATCATCATGATGTGGGGACCCGGCAGGCTGTCCATCCCTAGCCCTGCTGGCCTGAGCTTCGAGGATGCTCCTGATTGACCTGCAGACCCACCAGGACTTCTCTTGCACCCGATGACCCCAAACTTTCCTAGTCACAGATAAGGAACATCTAACAAAGCACAACCCTGCAACCCTCCCCAGCATCCCCCCAGGCCCAGGGTGTCCCATGTTCCCTTGCTGTCTGTATCACCCATGGGTTCCATGGTGCCACCCACCCGATCTTCTGAGTGACCCTGGACCCCATAGCAAGATTGGGCCACGTGACACAGGCCCTCAGGCCCCACTGACCTCCAGGTTCACCTGTTTTTGTTCTAATCCAAACAGAAAATTGACATTTATGATTGTTAAATGTCATCTTCTCTGCGCCTGTCAAAGTCACATTGAATCTTTATTCTGTCACACAGCATTACCAAACATGCTGTCAAATTTGTGTCACAGGCCTGTTGGACTAACTGGCTCATCGGTCTGGTCTGTGCCCCAGGTGGAGGGGTCTGCTCCCTGCAGGTTCTCAGCACTTCTCTCATCTGCCCCAGGAACTCTGGACACTGGCTGCTGGGGGCTGGCCTGTCGCCCCATCTGGAGTCGCTGGCCTTGGTCACGTTCACATGAAACCTTGCTCGAGTGTGGACGCTATCCTGCCTTCCCATCCTGCACCTGGCATGCGCTTGGCACACTTTGCCTTTGGGACAGTCTGTTCCCTCCATTGACCGTAGCCCAGACTGCTGATGTGAGGGATGGCTGAGCGTTCTGAGGGGACCCATGCAGTGCTGTGCCTCCCAGAGGGAGCTCGTCTCTCTCAGCAAACAGAAAATAGTCGGAGTGGACGAATACCCACGTGCATTGAACTTCCATATGTGTGCAGCCTGTGCTGCTCTTTCAGCCTGGGCCCTAGAGGCCTAAAAGGCCCTGAGGGCTAAATGCAGCTCCAGGAGTTTTGCTGTATAGATGTGTCCATGGTGACTGTTTCTCTTGTCCCAGCTGTGCCATGCCTGTGTGTGACAGGACCTGAGAGAGGTGTTTCTGTAGGGCCTGTACACTGGAAGAGGAGGACAGGATGTGCGCACGGGTGGAGGAGGGTAGGATCTGTATTGGAAGAGGAGGCCAGGGTCTGCGCACAGGGGAGGGCAGTAGAGGGTGGCAGATTCCCCTGGAACTGGAGTTATGGATGGCAGTTAGCCACCATGTGGGTGCTTGGAATCAGACCCAGGGCCTCTGCAAGAGCAACCAGTGCTCTTAATGCTCAATGATCTCTCCTGCCCCCAAATAAATTAATTTTTAAGAGAAAAAATGCCTCACTGGCATGCCCGCAGGCCAGTCTGACAGGGGAAATTCTCCAACTGATGCTCCCTCTTCCGAGGTTTGTCAGGTTGGCCATTGAAGCTGACCAACCAGCACACTTGGACATCCCATATGGCCTTGGGTTTCCTGCTCTCAGAGAACCAGAACTGGGGCCCAGGGCGGACGCTGCTGGTCCCCACAGACTTCTCCCAGAAGCCCGCTGTGCATATCCATTGGCTTGATGGTGTCCCCCACCTCTGAAGCCTTTTCTGGGCCAGTCCATGGGCGGACAGCTCCAGAGAACTGCCCAGGCCTTCTGCCCTGAGGAGCCAGCTGGCCCAAGGTTGGCCAGACACCATAAGCCTCTGCTGCAGAGGTCAAGGTGGACGGGAATAGCAGGTTGTTGGAGCCAGCCTGCAGGGCTTAAAATAGCAGCTGGGGGCGGTGACCATGTGGCTGCCCATCGACACTGCAGTTGTGGCACAAGGAGGAATTCACAGCTTCTTTCTTGCATGTGTCAGAGCTTGTGATCTGCTCCTGGCCAGTGTGCCCCTCAGCCTATTTGAGGCACAGAGCTCTGTGATCAGGCCAGTGTCTTCTGCCTGGCCTGCCTGTCTGCTTGTTTGTGCCTTTGTTTGTTTGTGCCCGCATCTCAACAGCAGCATGTAATTTGAGTGTAACTGGGTAGAGTGAGTCAAATGTGTAGGCAGAGGGAGGCAGCTCTAACCAGAAACTAGTGTTCTGCTTGGGTGAGCCTGGGCACTTGGGGTTGGGGTGGTTCAGAGTCCTCAGTGAGACCCTGGTGTCTTAGTTTGTCTCTTCATTGCTGTGACAAAATACTCTGACAAGTACCAACTTGGGGAGGAAGGGGTCTATTTGTCTTACATCTCCCAGGTCACAGTTCATCAGGGAGCCCAAGGTAGGAACTCAGGGCAGGAACCTGGAGGCAGGAGCTGGAGCACAGGCCATGGAGGAACGCTGCTTACTGGCTTGCTCCCTGGCCCCTGCTCAGCCTGCTTTCTTATGTAACACAGGCCCACCTGCCCAGGGGTGGCAGCACCCACATCACTTAACAATCAAGAAGATCCCCACGATATGGCCACAGACCAATCCAATGAAGGCAATTCCCCAATTGAGGCTCCCTCAACCCAGGTGAGTCAAGTTGACACTAAAGCGTCCAGCACACCTGGCTACCCACATCCTTCCTCTGAATATGGCTGACCTGCTCTCCCAACATGACCTTGGCACACTGGCCACGATCTGTCAACATGGATTTGAGCAGCTAAGTCTGGCTACTTGGCTAGCTCCACCCAGCCCTGCCTTACAGAAGGGGCCAGGCTAGGCATGGCCAATGCCTTTGGTGATGACCCTCTGTGGCCCTAGTAACATGCAGCCAAGGTCCACCCCAGGTTGAGAGCAGCCTGGGCACTGATAGGCTGTTGGAGCCAAGCCAGCCTGTCTGTACTTCTGCTAATGTGTATGATGCCTTCACCAACTAGACTCTTGCTCTGGGGACCTGGAGGGTACTGGGGACATCAAGGTTGGCAGAGGGCAGGTGCTAGTTACCTAGAGGAGGGGTGTCGGGGTGACAGTAGTAGAGGGTGCTGTGTCTGAGGAAGAACACCTGCTGTGGAAGACACTCTCCTCAGAAGCCCTGGGGGCTCCCGGCTGGTCCCACTGCAGCTCAGAGGGCCGCCGTGCTACCTCCTTCCCAGGTTGGGGGGCTTCCCACGTCCAGCACTTCTGTGAGACGCCCTTGTAGCCGGAAGGACCCCTGAATGTGGGACCCCATGTGCCTTCCTCACTGCCCTCTCAGGGCTCTGCACAGAGGGCAGCAGGTAGTAGGCACTTTCTGGGTGATGAGTGGACGGAAGATCCCCATGGTGAGCAAGTTTCATATGCCAGGTTCTGGTGAGTGGGTCCCAGTGAGGTTGTGTGGCTTTGTGACAGAAGGGCCCTGTGCTTCCCGTGCAGGGCTGAATGTGGCAGTCCCAGTCAGGCTGAGGGATGTCCTCTGTCCTCCTCCACGGCGGCCGGTTGTCCCTATTTATGATCCGCTGTCGAGCATGGCAGTATCTATATTGGACAGTGTTACTCTTTAGCGTTTATGGGTGTTGGCCAAGCACTGATAGTGTAAATTTAGGAGCCACTACCCACAGGAATTCCCTCTCCTGGTAAGGTTCACCTTCCCTCCCTGGAGAAGTCCGCCACATTCCTCAGAGACCCGTGGGCTCTGCACTCAGGAGTAAGTGGGGGTGAGCAGTGACAGATGCTCAACTTGGGTTGGGTTGTTGGGAGAAATGCCTCCCTTCCTGTGCAGATGCGGCCCTGGGCCCTGAGTGCCTGTGTGTACTTACACGCTTACACCAGCACACCCATGTTCACTGTGTGTACCTTAGTGCAGCTGAGCATACCCGTGTGTATGTGTGCGTGTACATGCATACTTACATGTAACCCATGAATCTGAGTACAGCTGAGCATACCCGTGTGCACCTGTGTCTACACATGTGCATTCATGTAGCCTGTGTACACATAGGTGCATATGTGAGTGTCTACACAGCACATGCACCCCTGCAGCTGTGTGCCCATATGAACTGTGTATGTTTTTACTTGTGTGCCTCCTGTGTATACCTGTGTAGTCTGCCCTGTGTCTACCAGCCAGGCATATAGCATGTAATATCTGTGTTGTGTGTGTGTACTTCTCATAGATACCCATGTGTGTGGTCATGTTTAGTCCTTCAGGAAGGTAGGGAACCATGGGCCTCCTGGTACTGATGCCTCCAGCTCACTCCCCAGTTGCCCTGACTTCTGTGCCAGGGGATGGTGGTTCCCCCTGGCAGTATGGCAGTGCACACACCTTCAACACTCCAGAGAAGGTCTGACTTTTTATGTGGCTCTAAGATGCCACATCCTGAGAGCAGTGTGCTGGGGATGGAGACGTGGGACTCGGCTTGGGGACCTTGTAATCTGGCAGGTCGTTTTCTTGTGAAAGGCCAGAGTATGTAGAGGGAGGGACACAACGCCTTCCCGTGATTCCCTGTTTTCATTTCCGTGTGTGGCTGAGAGGGCCACATTTAATTTCCTGTCCTTTGGGACAGGGCTGCCTGTAATGCCTGGCATTCAGAATGTAGGCCACTGGCTGTCACATCACTTCCACCGAGCCAGCTGTGGTGGGCCACGCTCTCGGTGGGGGCTGGGTGGGCTCAGGCTGTAGGTGTCCAGGCTGCGTCCACTCAGCTTGTGACTCTCCTTCCTTGCAGGTCAGCTGGCCGCCGGCACCTGTGAGATTGTGACCCTGGACAGGGACAGCAGCCAGCCACGGAGAACGATCGCCCGGCAGACAGCTCGCTGTGCATGCAGAAAGGGGCAGATTGCTGGCACCACGAGAGCCCGGCCTGCTTGTGTGGATGGTAAGAGCCCCCAGCCCAGGTGACGCTCCTGGGTGCTGAGCTAAGCTTGTGGGCTGCTGTGAGAGCCAGGTATCATTCTGATGTGGCTTTCTCCAGAACGTTCTAAGGTCAGGGCCTCAAGGCACACCCTTAGCGCTGGGCCTCTGGCTGGGCTAGCTTTCCTTGAGTCAGCACATCTCGCAAGATTGCACTTGTGGGTAGCATGGCCCATGCCCATGGGGGTGGCCTCTCACAGCATGGTTTCTGTATTCCAAGTGTCAAGGCCCTGAAGTCTCCAACCAGGTGGGGTCCCATCCTAACCTCTCTTGAGTATTCTATCAAGCTAAGCCAGAACCAGCATGACAGTTGTCCCCCAAAGCCAGGAAGGCTTTCTTGGAAGGGGCCATCAGGGTCCTGGGAACAAGGGTTAGTCAGGACAGGGCTGGGCAGAGTCTGAGCTGCCTCCTGGCTGTGACCCACCAAGTATTTGGCCAGACTCTACTTTGCCCTAGAATGAACAAGCAGTTCAGGTCTCAGATGCCTGTGCATCTTGGGGCTTAGAGCTAGCTCGGCTCTGACTCGGGGGCTGGCCCTTCCCTGAAGACCCCAGGATACAGTGCCTTCCCTCAGTGCCTTCTCTGGACCCCATGTCCATGTGCCACCCACATTCCTATCGTCAGTTTACAAGGGTTGGGGACCATCTGTAGCTCAGGAGAGTGTGGGATGAGGCCGAGCTTCAGGCCAGGACAAGGGGCAGTGGAATTCTTGGTGCTTCCAATGACCTAAACCGAGAGGGACAAGCCAAGGGGCAGTGAGGCAAGTCTGACCTCATGGAGATACCTGCAGTTCACAGTTCTGGATGCCCTCCATCAGCTGACCCTGTTTGCAGCCACTAGGATCCCAGGATCAGAATCCGTGTCCTGGATCCCAAGGGGTGGTCTGGGTGGAACTGCGTCTTGGTGATGTTGATTGATTCTCGAGAACCAGTGTGGGCTGGTGCGGAGCTGCCGGCCCCAGTCCTTCCTCTTCTTTTAATCCTTCTGAGAGCCTGACGGGGGACGGGGGTCTGGACTGATTGCTAATTGAATCTGGGTCTGCCCATCTGAAACTGCGTCTGTGTCTCTCCCACAAACCTCCCGGTGCCTCAGGTCCCAGAGACCCAAATTAAAACCTCACCATTTTTAAGGGAGGCCATATAAATTAGTTCGCTTACATTTTCTGCACAGTGGGCATTTTCCAGGCTGCTGTCTAATTTAATTTTTGCTTTTCTATTTTCTTGCACTGTGTGCATAATAAGTTTCCTTGCATGAGATTGTGTCTGCTGAAGAGAATTTGTGTCGTGTTGGCCCAGCTGGCGTTGAATGCCAGTGGCGTTTAGCCTGGCATGATCTGTGCTGACCCTGAAATCAGGAGCTAAAATGCTAGGACAGAGTTGCTGTTGAGAGGCCACATAGTCCTTTATGAGCTGGCTTTACAGATGTCCATAAATTTGCTCACTCATTCTCTCTCTAAAATAAGGTGCATGCTCCCAGGTGTAGGAAGAATCGGGGAGATCAGCTCTCTTAACTCCTCATCCCTGGACGTTGCAATGCTGCGAGTACTGGGGTGCATCTGTTGGGCAGGGAGGCGTCCCTGAGGGAGCATTTGAGTGCGGTCTCAAGGGATGAAGCGATCACCAGTAAAGCTGCACATTGCAGAAAGAGGGTGCTGTTGGAGATGAACTCCTGAGTATAGTCCTCCTTAGCCTGTTTCTGAGCCAAAGCGTTTTGCAGAAATCAGTCTCCAGCACCCTGAACCTGCGAACTGGCCCAAGAGTTGGTCCCTGTTACAGAATCCATAGGAAGAGAGATCTGAAAACCAGCCTGTTACCTGCCTCGGGGCTTACTTTCATCCCAGAAACATCAACAAGCAGACCTTACCTTGGGGCTGTGCCCTGCAGACTGCAAACCAGGCTCCTGAGCACCGGCTGTGTCTGTAGATACACTGTATTTCCCCCTCCTGTTGGCAGAAACCCATGTGGTTCTGACTCCTCCACAGTGCTGCCCTGTGAACTGAGACCTGCCCACACTCTCCCTGTAACCGCAACAATGACCTTATGCAATTCCCCTTCTCTGACTTCTTTTGAAACTCCTTTGGAAACAAATCCAAATAAAACCAGCCTCTGGCGCATGGGCTGAGTGTAGGCGTGGGGAAGAGGGACTCACTTTAGGAGTAACAGTGCCCAAAACACACTGGAGTGCTGTGGCCAGGAGCATCCGGTCCAGAGTGCAGGTGGTTTCCTTGGGAACCATGTAGGAGGGGCAGGCTGAGGTCAGGGCTACAGGAAGCCACAGTGTAAGGAGTGTGCCCTCAGCTGCAGAAAGGTGCCCCAGAGCCATCCAGTCGCTCTTCCATGCGTGACTAGTGTCGTTCTCCTCTGGCCCTCAAGGGGCCTTCTGATGTGGTTGACTGTGTCACCCACCCTGGAGCTGCTTGGGTGATTGTACGTGTCTGTACTTCCCAGATGGAACAGCAGCAGGCTGTCCTTCCCAACATGGGCAGGAGGCAGAGCTGACCAGAGTTCCAGCCCAGGGCTCTAGCTTGGTCTCTCCTCACCAGCTAGAGCCCATGGGCAAAGCCTGTGTCTCCCCTACAGATGGGGGCAACAGCTCAGCAGTCTCAGGCTCTCTGAGAACAATGTAAGACAATCTATGCTCCTGTGATAGCAATTCAGAGATGGCTGTCTGCCCAGTAACACACAGCTTGCATGTTCCCCATGTGGCCATGGGGCTCTCTGTAAGGAAACAGGGAACACAGGAGTGTTCACAGGACTGGTCTGTACGGTCGGCTGCTGCAGTTCTGGGTAAGGATGGTGAAATGGTTGCAGAGAATGGAGAGTGCAGAAGGAGTTGGCTGATTCCCACCAGGTACCCGAGACCCTCCTCTGGGACCTTTTCAATAAGTCTAAGGCAACTAGATTCCCACATGCTGAGGCCTGACATCAGACCCCTGCCTCACACTATGCACAGATGTTGACTCAGAGTGGATGCTAAGAGTGAAAAGATAGAACTCTCAGGAGCCGGCGAATCTTCATGCCCTTGACCTTGGCAAAAGGTTCCTAGGTGTGACCAGTGAAATCACAGAAATTAAAAAAAAAAAAGTGAAAAACATGCCCGCAAAATGGCTTAGTGGGTAAAGGTGTTTGCTGCTAAGCCTAGAGACCTGAGTTCAATCCCTACCTGGAGACATGAGTTCCCCAGGACCCATGTAGTAGAAGGAGAGCCCCAACTCCCAAAGATGGTCCTCTGACCTCCACACGAGTGCCAGGGCATGTGCTAAATAAATAAATAAATAAACACACAAATACATAAATGACATAAATGAATGTCATTTAAAAGGGAGTGGGTAGGGAAATGGCTCAGCAAGTCAGGAACTTGTTGCTAAGCCTGACGACCTGAGTTCAATTCCCAGGACCCACATGGTAGAAGGACGAACCAGTTCTAGCAGTTTGTCCTCTGAATTCACGTGTGCACTCATAACCCACCCCACAATAAATAAACGTGATAAAGCATTTTATTTCTTTTTAAGATTTATTTTTATTTTATATGCATGCGTGTTTGCCTACATGTATGTATGTGCTCCATGTATGTGCCTGTTGCCTGGGGGAGTCCAGTACTCCTGGAACTGGAGTCAGAGACTGTTGAGAGCTGCTGTGGGTGCTGAGCACCAAACCCAGGTGCGGTCCTAGTGAAGTGCGAAGCATATCCCTTAAAGGCATAAAGATGTATCTGTGCACATGAAGCTTACACTCAGATGTCCGGAGCTGCAGGGGCTCTGGAAGCGACAAGAGGAGATGGCTGAATGTCCCTTACAGCACCCCTTACAGGTGAGCAGAGTGTGGCTGTCTGTCACAGTGCTGTCCAGCCGTCCGTTGATGAGCCAGCCTGCACCACATGTGAGAGCTGAAACCCTGCTGCTGGTGAAGGAAGCTGTGCTCCAAAGGCCACGTGCTGAGACCACTGCCACGGAATGTCCTGAGCCAGTGCAGGGACAGAGCTGTCTGACTGCTGTCCAAGGGAGAGAGGCATAGGAAGGGGCAGCTAAGGGGCACATGTTTTCTCTGGGTGACCCAAGTGTACTAACACTGGTTGTGGGAAGTTAGCCGGCCTTGACCACAGGATGTCCAGCTTCAGGAATGATCTGTCTGGCTGGCTGCAAAGGCCCTGCATGCTGTCTCACCAGCTTCTTGGTGAGTGGCGGTTGGGGAAGACAGGACCTGCTTCCCGATGGTCTTTTTGGTTGTCTCAGCTCCTGGCCAGGTCATGGGTCAGCTTGCTCCCAACACTGGTTGTGGGAAGTTAGCCGGCCTTGACCACAGGATGTCCAGCTTCAGGAATGATCTGTCTGGCTGGCTGCAAAGGCCCTGCATGCTGTCTCACCAGCTTCTTGGTGAGTGGCGGTTGGGGAAGACAGGACCTGCTTCCCGATGGTCTTTTTGGTTGTCTCAGCTCCTGGCCAGGTCATGGGTCAGCTTGCTCCCAGCATCCCTCTGCTTGGACATCTACTTTACTACATAGGTGCTGGATGCCAGGGGCTCTCGGTTTGGCAGGAAGAGTAGGCACTGAATCCAATCAGTTAGTACACTCTGTTGTCCGAGGCCGCTGCTCTAGAATTCACGCCTGGGTCAGACTGTGCTGTAAACGCCCAGGAACTGAGAGATACTCGAAAAAGTTGTTCATATTCCACTTCCTCAAACACAGCCGTGGTGTCTTCAGATGAGCCTGGTCCAGATGGGGCTTGGGTCACCCTGTGTGTCGGCACCTGGTCAGCTCTGAGCAAGCAGCGACTTGTATCGGAGAGGAAGGTGGCAGGTGTGAGGAGAGCCCCAGTTCCACAGGATGGGAATGTGAACTTATATCCACCCTACCAAGGAGTCTCCCGGACAGGGAGGGAGCCTGCCCACCTGGGCTGTGGCTGCCGGGTTTGATGGCCCTGTGCCAGTGGACTGTGTGCTTCCTCAGAGTTCGGTACTGCTGTGGAGG